AAATAATTTCTGGAATAAGTGTGTGCAGTATATAGTTCGTCCTTATTGAACATATTCACAAGCATTTGACGCACGACAATTCAAAAGATGAAATGATTTTCTTATACTGTGAAGTTCCATGAGTGTAAAAAAAATGTACATGATCGAGTTGCATTTAAGTACAAAAAAAGTTTTAAAAAAATGTTCAGTAACCGTCATAAAAATTCTACAAAAAAATCAATGTTCTAGACATCATCATTCTGCTACACCTTGCACAGTTTTCCGAATCTCGAGTGCTTTCCGCGCCATGGCAACCGCGCCGCCCTCGGTTTCGTGACCGCCGACGTAACAATCGGGATGTACATGTAGAGCGCCTTCAATTCCACAGGCTTTCACAAGGGTATCATGGCTCAAACCACCCCACGCTTTCGGAAATAACATTCTGTACACGTAATATTCCTGGACACAGCCAATACAATAAATGTTTCCAGTCTTCCAAATGACATATTTTATTGAGGGCGACACGTTCAGGTCCTTTTCTAGTTTAAACAGATAGTCTTCATACGTTATAACTTTCGACAACATTATTATCTCTCCGCTCGGATCGACCTTAGAAGAATGTTTTACATCAAACGGTAATTGGAAATATATCCAAAACAAAAAGGCAAATTATAGAGAAAGAGTTTTCCTTACTTTGAATCGATTCTCCACAGCGTGTCGCACGATGTCCATTGACGGTAACCGAATGTTTCTTGCGTCTTTTACAATGTCCAAAAATTCCTTCCGAACCAAAGCCATAGCTTTTTCAAACTGTTTGTCTTTTTTCTCATCCTGGCTATCCCACAAAGGATTTAGTCTGCATACGCGCGCACTTAAATCAGTATATGATTCTAATTTACACCTGAAACAAATGCAGGTGCAATAACTTTGGTCAAGCATACTGCGCAGTATGCAATATCACAAGCTTGCAATCTCTGTATCGTACTTGTGCTCATCCATAAAATCGATTTCCCTGATTAATTTCGCATAAATAAACGCAAACATTTTATTAATAATTATGTCCTCTGTTACGTCCGAAAGTACATTTTTCAATATCTCACGACCGAATTGGTAGTAGATCAGTCCCGCACTTGTTAGTTTTACTTTGCGATGATGTTCTGGTTCCCTTATAACGATATTCATCCATTCTTGGAATTCTCTGAAAACAAAAATAGAATATATATAACGATGTGGCGGAAACAGAGGGATTTTCTTTATAATGGCGCATATAATTAAATAGTACAAATATATTTTACCTCGTGTTATGATCATATCGACGTCTGGAAGGATTATATTCTCCGCCAACACCTACCACGATATCACAGGTATCTAAGATACTTTTATCTTCAGATCTAAAAATTTAGAAGGATATATATATCCATGAGTTCTGCAATTCAATATTTTCTATTTATTTTGGCCGGTATTCATAGTCGGATCTCATATTTAAAACCGTCTTAAGTACGATCTTAAGATGTGAACCAATCACAGAGCCGTATTAGCATCTTAAGACATTATTCTTAAAACAGTCTTGAAATAAGATCCGACTATGAATACGGGCCATTGTTTCGATAATATAATTCATAAGGCCAATTGCCTTTCTTGATTTTGTCATTAAATGCGTTAAAACTCTTAGCTTTCAGTTAAGGATAATTACCTAACTATAGACGCATCTTTATACTGTGGCAGCAGTTTTAACAGTGCGCAGGCGAGAACCTCAGAACAATGGAAATGCCTGTCGTGCGTGCCGATCCTCACGGTCGATTTTTTTGACATGGGTCTGGGAACACCGTCGATTAACCACCTCATTCGGCATGTTATATTCCTGAAATATTGAAATATTCGGAAGTGGTGCAGAAATATTTCATTAACATTTCATATATAATTAACTGTGCATCTATACTGTTTCAGAAATGTACCTACATTATGTTTCTTATAATATTGCACACAACAATATTTGTGAAATCTTTCGGTTTCCGTGAGAAGGTTGAAGAATTTGCGCGCTTCTTGATATAATCGACTGAAAACTGGTGATTATTATACAAAATTGCGAGATTTATAATGCTATATCAAGTAAATATATATTTAATGAATTCTCATCAGATTGTAGCGAAACATGAGTTCCACCAGAAGCTCTTTTGTATGCAGAAGTTCTTTAAGTTGTGTTTAGATATCTTAATGTTGCACGCCAAAAAACGTACGTTTTATATAGGAGTTCGTACCTCTTACAATTAAACTGACTGTTTTCCAGCAGAGAGTGGCTAAAAGATGCCTGAGAATGCGTGCTTACTTGCTGTCGGGAAAAACGAACTTCTTCCTTTCGTGTTGACACCTGCCTCTTTTCAGAGGTCATTAATTCAATACGGCTAGTATGTTGTCGAAGTTGGTTTATTAAGGCGTATTTACACGAATACTGTTCGAGATTCTCTTTCGATATTTGTTGGTGGGAAAATCGAACGGTGTAACTCGCCTAATGACGCCTTTATGTACGCAAAACGTGCACGTTGCACTACGTAGCCATGAATATTTCCGGCAGGTGTAAACACACATAATACGTTCCAATGATTCCGTTTTATGCCTACAAAGTGTAACTGCGTAACAATATATTATTTAAAAAATATAACTAAAAATTGGAATAATTTAAGCCTGATAAGAGATATTAAAAATAAAAAAAACGTCAACTATACATACAATATACATATAGGTATATTCTTTAATAGTGTTTTCATGCAAAACATATACCAAAGAATAACTGCAATGGAGAAGAACAAATATAATGCTATTGCTCAAACATTTATTTGTACAGTTTTAACTTTTTAGGCTTCATTTTGACCGAATGTAATTACAATATAGAAACTTAATGAATTTTTTCTATACAGATTATGAATATATATATTTTTAATGTAAGAATTCAAATCAACCGGTATAAAAAGCCTCCACTACTCCCGCCGATTATAATCAATCCACGATGTAACGCGCCGCGCAGTACTTACATGAAAATCAGCGTTGCGGAAGCCGTTCGCGCGGGTCTCGTGTTGCGCGATAACCGAAAATAAGGAAACGCTTGCGTGTTGCGCTTTTACATTGTCGTGATTTGTCGCGACGTTTTGGGGACAGGCTCGTGCCGATCACGAACTGGCGCGTGGTTGTATCAGGACCGTACGCGCGTGTGACATCGCTCAATGCTAAAAAGCTGTTTTCTTGATCCTTAACAATATTATAAAAAAAATAACTAAAAATTGGAATAATTTGAGCCTGATAAGAGATATTAAAAATAACGAAAAAAAATTTAAAGAATTAAAAAAACAAGTTATTACCGCAATAGGCGTTACTTTTGAAACATTTATCGAAAGAAGAATTATTATCGTTATAGTAAGATATATATGTTGGCATCAAAAAAATAAATATTAATTAACGAAAAAAAAACAGTGACGTACACAAACCATATTTACCGAGACGGAAGTTTTCTGGTGTCTTAGCACTAACCCATTCGAAATACAAAATACCTACGCTGCAAAATTGTCGTAGAAAAAAGATCCCCAGGATGTCACGTAGCTTGCCACAGCGGAAGTTCAAATAGAATTTCAAAAAAGAAATTTCCAGGAATCGAGATCGTTAAAGTCGAAACTGCGACGAAAAAAGACGACGTAAAGGGAAAAGTTGAAGCGACGAAAAGCTACGATAGAAGTATTATACAAGAATGAACATTTGAATACCGAGGCTCAAAGCAAATCGTCACTTTATAATTGCTAAAACGAGATCATCAACGTGGAATCAACAGCGATGCCGGACAATTCTTTGTTTTTGTGATGCTCCTTGCTTTCGTGCGAAGAAACGCCAAAAAAAAAAGTAGAGATAAAGAATAGAAAAGCAGCTGAATAATTCACGCAAAGAATAAATATTGAAGAAAAAACGACTCGCGTAGAAAATCAAATAAAGCTGGTGAGAAGAGGAGAAAGTGGGAAACTATGAAAATCGGATATTCGCACGTTCTCCATCTCTGTGGAGTAGCGAGTGATTGTAGGACTTTTGGAACTTGGAAGGGTGGACGCGCGAGAGTCGGAGGCTTTCGGGGGTGGATTGTGCGCATGCGACATAAACAAATTAACCGTAAAGAAAAAGCCAATATACCGGGTGGGAGACTCTGACAGTCTCTGATGTGTATTCAAGTACATGACATTGTAATATACAATAATTTGAAACGGTAGTTCTGTGTCATGAGCGCAACGGACTTTGGCACTCCGGATATCCGGAATATCGCGCGAAACCGATAAAGGAAACCGGAATTGAAACCCCGATTTCCGGAAGATGCAAATCATTCAATAAACTGAAAAAAAATCGCTTTGCTTAAGATACAGGATATTCGCCGATATCGTGCAACAACAGTTACATGTATTCGCGTTATTGAGAGCATACAAAACGCTGTGCAAATACAGTTTCAACAAAGTTAAAAACGTGCAAAAGTGACATTTTATTTTATTTAGTTCACAAAAGGATTTCTTCTTTTTAGAAACTTCCGGATTTATATTGTCTCTCGATCATATGATAAATCGTTGTTAAATAACATATACATAATTGTAACATCGCTAACGTTAGCGATGCAGCGATACCTACATTATGTTCCGCACTCTCGTCTAACATATTGTCTGCTCTATCACTGACAAGCCTGTGCTACTCGTGTTCTGAATACAACGCATTCTGCGGCGCTATCTCGTATATAGGCTTGCAGTCCGTCTAACTAACAGTCTGATGCGCTATAGATCTTCGCCTTCTCCGTGAATTGCAGTGTCTTAGAGCAGATATCTCAAACTACATTTGCAGTACGGCATAAACGTGCACCTCGCATTAACCCTCTCGCGGCTACGAAACCGACGATTCCATTAAGGGAGAATACTCAATTAGAAGCGCGAAAAAAAGGCAATTTTTGTAAATTTTTTTAAGGAAACCTATATGAATTATGGTATTGGTATTTTTTCTACATAAAAGTACACACTTTTAAGAATATGTTAAATTTTTTTTATTAAAAAATATTCAATATTGGCGGAGTATTCATGGGTTCTGTCGACTGCCGCAAAAAAAAGGTCCTCCGCGGTGACCACTCCCATTTCATTCGTAATCATCAGAATCAAAAAAACCAAAAAGATTATTAAAATTGACACTATAATTTAGTCTTTGTCGTAGGGGTTTTTGAAAATATCAATTTTTGACAAAATGGCGGGCGTTTGAATTTAAGGGTTCGATTTTTAGAGAAAAATTTGGGTTTATTTTGCCGATAAAAAAAAACTAAGTCACTTAAAAAAAAATCCTACGACAAAGACTAGATAATTATGTATAGAATAACCTCTATAAATTTCAAATTGATCGGTTCAGTGATTGCCGAGATATTTTGGTCACCGATTTTTAACATGGTTTCGAGAAAAACGCGTTTGAAAATTGAACAATGAATAAATCGCGAAAATTTTTCAACTTACATTAGAATCATCGATTCCAGGTCCATAATATAAGTCCTCCACCTTGCTTGGAATGCAAAAATTAAACAATCAATTTTTTCGAACTTTCTAATTGGGTATTCCCCCTTAATAATAGTGATTATTACTGCTGATCGCGATAACGATATAAGGTTGCGCAGAGTTATCATTAACAAATAGCCTAATGTAGAGGATCTTACGGAAATTAAGTATCCGTCTTTATTCCTTATTCACGCTCGCCTGGATATGAAGTTCATGATTCTCATATTTAAGTCGCATTAAACGGTTTATAAAAAATTAAATAAATTAAATAATGCATAATAAAAGTGTACAAAAAAGAAATTAGACTTTTTAAATATATTTATGAATTACAATACATTTATTTCTTATAATTTTTTCATTGTTTAGTAATATTTAGATTATTTTCTTAGAATTTAGTTTATAATTAGGGAAACTATTATAAAAATTAAAAAAAGCAATTATATCAAATAAACAATCGCAATCATATTAAATAAATTAACTAAATGAAATATATCTAAAAAGTGTATAACTTAATATTATGTTACATAAGTAATTAGCTTACCACAAAAATTATTAACATTTACAATAAAGATATAAAAATTTTGTTATTAAAGCAGAATAGCAATATTTATTTATCTAAATAATTACATCAATAATTACTTATGTAAAAAAAATGATTTTTTTCTGTTTTTACTTTCTAAAATAAAACAAAATTAGGAACTATTTTTGCTGCATACAATAATATTATTGCAATCAAAAGATATTAAATTATGGTTTTTTTAAAGAAGTTTCTTCCGAATATTACATGCAAAAACGTATTATATTTTACTAATAAAAACTTTTAAATAAAGTATGAATATGTGTACGTTTTAGCAGTATGATATCTTTTATTTGACAAATCTACACGGCAAGAAAAAGACGAAAATTAATGTTATGTTAACCCTCAATTAGCACACATGTGTTAATTCGCACCACTTTTTTCGTTCAGCACTTTATATATTTCAATTTTTCATATAAAAATCATTTTTGAAGGATGAAGAGGACGGTTCGCTATTAGCAGTCTTGAGAGAGATTAGGAACGAAATAAGGGACCTGAGGGACGAGATGAGAGAGAGGATGAACGTCTTAGAAGAGGGTCGGAGGAAAAAAAAGAAAAGGTAGAGGAAAGGATGGATAAGATAGAAGAGAGGCTATCGAAGATCGAACGAAGGAGTGAAAACACAACGGATAAGGCGACCGGCGGCAAAATGGAACAGATTGTGGGAAAGGTGTCGGAGATGGTTAGGAAGAGAGAAAGAAATATGAAGGAAAGGAAGGAAAAGAAAAATAATTTAGTAATCAGAGGACTACATAAAGAGGAAAACAAGAGCTTAATGGACACAGCGGAGACGTTTCTGGAGAGGGAGTTTGGTGCAAAAGCGGGAGTGAAGAAGATGCGGTCAACAGGCAGAGTAAGAAGAGAGATAATAATAGTCGAAATGGACTGCTGGGAAGCGAAGGATAACATCATGAAGGAGAAGAAGAAGCTGGGAAATAAGAAAATTTTCATTGATCACGACTTGACCTTTGAGGACAGAGAAGTGCAAAGATGGATAAAAAAAAGGGCATGGAAAGAGAAAACAGAAGGAAAATAGGTGAAAATTATAGGTTCGTTGTCGTGGAGTCGTTCGTTGTCATCTAACGTGAACGCACCATACTGTATGACATCTGCTAATATGACTTGTTTAATTTCACCACCTGACTTGCGAATCATTTCGTAGACTCATTGCTGCCATTTTGATTTAATGGAGTGTTTTGCAAGCGGTTAATATTGTACGCACTTGAAAAGGACCGGAATCTTGGTCGAAACGCGTTGTGCTAATTAAATAAAAATAGCCAGTTTGGTCGAAGCAAAGGAGTTTGTTAATTTTATCACTCACTGTAAAAGTGAAGTAAAAGTACTTTATTTGTTAATAATGATAATGTAAATAATAATGTACTGCGGCGACTTGTTTGTAAAGAAGAATGATGTTTGACGTGTGGATGGATGTGTGTTAAGTAGAATTGTAAACCAAGTTCTTTCTTGGCGTATAGCTGAAAAAAGACATATATATAAAAATCATTTCTTTTTCCTAAAAAAAAGTGCACTACTCGATTGCCAGGAAAATTTTACATAAATTTTTATTAAAAATGACTGAGATACGACAGTTAAAAGTTGTCAAAATCTCAAATCGCACTAGTGTGGCATTTGAGGGGGCCCAACCGAGGTGTGCTAATTGAAGGTTAAGATTACCAAATTAATGCAGAATAGTTAATCTCGTAAACAAAGATCTAATTTACAGTTAAAGTTTAGTTCGATTTTCTATTACAACTAATTATCATTATGATATTTAGAGTATATATAGCATCTTCTTTAGATATGTTTTGGTTGTATATCTCTGTATATCTCACGATTTTCTCCTATTAGTCCTAACCATTTAAACAATTCCATGTCATCAAGATAATTTAAGTTTAATTTGATTTGTTTTATTACATAACTCTTTAACTGTTCTGCATCGTTTGTAATTGCAATATTTAAAAGTTCTACAAGTCTATCTTTTGTATATGTTGCATATGTTGGCATATGTTGCATGAGACGATTTTCACACAAATTTTTAAGACCTTTTATATCAAATTCATTAGCTGCTACGAGGAGATCACAAATCCGATCTATGTAAGTGTCTTGCGTTTCATTTACTGTTAATTCTAATTTATACGAACAATTCAATGTTTTTAATGTTAAATAGCGTATCGCCAATTGCGAAAGCATCGTACTTTACTTTATCTATTAGCATAAGTTTTTCCTTCTCACTTTTTTCTGTATCAAAATTTTTTATTATATCCTTAAAGAGAGTATTGTTCACATTTTTTAATATCCATCTTTTTACAAGACACTCTCTACCTTCTATTACAAATGTAATCTTTGAATCATCGGAAGTGAAATCATTCATAGAGCTATGTAATAAACTATCTTTGCATGTTTTAAATATAAAGCATATCGAAAGTGTGTTATTAGATAAATATTTCGACTCATCTTTGCGAAGAGTTTCAAGAGATACGTCATATAACGAGTTAGTATTTGAAAAAAAATTTTTCCAGTCTGAAACTATGGCTGATGGTCCCTTTTTACTTTTGATATAAATTTTATATACCTGAATACAAATCTTAGCTTTAGATTTGTTATCAGTAAGACAAATAGAGAAACTTATTTTTTTATTTTTTATATCAGTAGACATCTTAAGGTTAAAGGGCTGTCTTTCGATGTTACTAGATTGTAAAGTTTCAGCAAAGCTGCATTTCTCCCAAAAATTAGAAATACTCCATATAAAAGTAGTTTTTTTCAAATTATTACACTTCGTTCGATAATAACAAAGGTTATACTTCGTCTGTTGTTGATCCTTGTTTTCCGAATCGTTATCTTCCGTCTTTTCCGGTGTGTTTGTACCGGTAGAATGGTACTCACCTGCAAGTAAACATTACCTGTTCTAAATATTCGATAAGTTTATATACACTGCTGAAAAAAATTATAGCATAGAAAAAAATTTGCCGAAAATTGGCCAATTTTGACTGCCGGTTACTCCGCGAAAAATTATCATAGGCAAATGTTTTTTATTTTTTTAAATTGAAGCTTGAAGTCTCTACTTTAAGAATGTATCTTCATTTTTTGTATGCGATGTACCCCTGTAACCCCTGAAATTTGAGGACATGTTTGGCATACTAAAAATTGCAAAGTTTGACGGAATGCACGGACGTGGAAAATTTTTTTTCGGCGACGCCGCGTTTGCATCGTCATAAAATTCAAATCTTTCACTTCAATTTAAAAAAAAAGCGAAGTTGCTAAGATTTTTTTCGCAAAGTTACAGTTCTCCAAAATTACCGTTGTTTTTTTGGCTTTTGGACCAACTTTGCTTTTTTTTAAATTGAAGTAAAAGATTTGAATTTTATGATAATTGATGAAATTTTTCCACATCCGTGCATTCCGTCAAACTTTGCAATTTTCAAGTATGCCAAACATGCCCTCAGATTTCAGAGGTTACAAAGGTAGGGGTGCATCGCATGCAAAAAATGGAGGTACATTCTTAAAGTAGAGACTTCAAAAGCTTCAATTAAAAAAAAAAAAAAAATTATTTGTCTACGATAATTTTTCGCGAAGTAATCGACAATCAAAATTGGCCAATTTTCGCCAAATTTTTTTTCGCTATAATTATTTTAGCAGTGTATATATATATATATACATGTACATCGTATACACTTTAAGCAGAAATCGGTAATCCCTTCACCGATCCTCAATAACAATCTTCCTTTAAAATGATACTCTATCCATCAATAACTTAGGGTAGACCGAGGCGAATCAGATCAATAAAAGTTTTAAGATCGTGCTAATTACTAATTACTAATTGGTAGTATCGAATTTTGAGGCGGGAAGGTACCTCCAGCATTATTTTGAGATTGCTGCTGTTGCTGTTCTTGCGGTTGCTGCTGCTGTTGCTGCTGTGGTCCGATAGGGTTGACACCAGATGCTTGTGGAGGCTGCGGAGGCACCTGCGGTACAAGCTGGGGAGAATTTTGCTGTCTAAGTGGTTCCATCTCTTCCCGATCTATATAATAAGTGCATGCAATATTTGATTTGTCTTTATTAAATATATTTAAAAGTATTTGACGCACGACCATTCAAAAGATGAATTGATTTTTTTATATTGGGATTTAATATGAGTGTTAAATGATCGGAGTCTTTAAATAGAACGAAATGTAGAAGATCAAGTTGCATTTAATTTAAAAAATGTTTTTAAAAAATGTACAATAATTGTCATAAAAATTCTGAAAAAAATCAATAGTCTAGACATAGTCATTCTTCTCCACCTTGCACAGTTTTCACAATTTTGAGCGCTTTCCGCGCCATGGCCATAGCGCCGTCCTTAGTTTTGTGAACGCCGGTTTTCCGATTGGAATCTACACGTATAGCGCCTTCAATTCCACAGACTTTTACAAGGGCATCACTCTTCAAACCGCCCCACGCTTCCGGCAATAACATTGCACGCTCGGAACTAACCCGACTATCCGGCATACACCTAATACGATAACTATTCCCAGTCTTAGAAATAGCGTACTTTATTGATGGCGAGACGTTCATTTCCTCTGCCAAATAAAACACAAACCGCCACATATTTTGGCATCGCGATAATTGTGGCACCATTACTATCTCTCCGCTCGAATCAACCTTACAAGAATGTTTTACATTAAACGATAGTCGAAAATATATCTAAAACAAAAAGAGAACTAGAAAAAGAGTTTTTCTTACTTCGAACCGATTCTCTATAGCACATCGCATGTCTATAATTGACGGTAACCAAATGTTCTTCGTGACGTGGAAAATTTCCAAAAATTCATTCTGAGCCAAAGCTATGGCTTTCTCAAATTGTGTCTCGATATTCTCATCCTGGTAGTTTAATCTGCTTACGCGCGCGCTTAAATCGGTAATTGATCGATAACTGAAACAAATGCAGATGCAATTATTCTGGAGAAGCGTTTTGTAACATCACAATGGCCCTGCATCGTACATTTGCCCATTGTTATCTATGGCGTCGATTTCCTGGATAAACGTATCGTAAATGATCTTAAAGATTTCATCAACGATTGTATCCTCAAGTATGTCCTTGGTTACGTCCGAAAGTATTCTCTTCAATATATCATGACCAAAATGGCAGTAGATCAAACCCGCACTGCTTAATCTATTTGTCCAGTTGTACCCTGATTTCTTTATAATAGTACTCACTGATTCCTGGAATTCTCTGATACGAGGAAGGAAAAAATAACGATGTGGTAAAAACAGAGATTTTCTTTAATAGTGTATCAGTAAAAAGTATGTTATTTTACCTCACGTGATGGTCGTATCGATGTCTGGGAGAATCATACTCGCCGCCAACACCTACTACGATATCACAGTTATCTAAGACACTCCGATCTTGAGATCTAAAAATTTAATTGAATATCTATGAATTCTGCCACTTAATACCTATTTCCTATTTTTGTTTCGTTGTGGTATTATAATTTATATGCCAATTCTGTTTCTTGATTTTATTCAATGTGTTAAAGCTCTTTTCCGATAGAAAAATTGAGCAAATATTGTACAATAACTGTTTCATTCAATTGAGAGGAATTTTTCGATTTATTGCATTAAGATGATTCGCCATGTGTATTTAAAATTGCAGTTCCCTGCACGGACGTGCCTTTAATCTGCATGAATTAGTTTACAAGAAAAAACAATTTATTTTGACCAAACTGATAAAGTATTATTACGTTTATACACGACTCCTGATTTTTGTATATATGACGACGTTTCGACCATTGTTTTTGGTCCTTTTCAAGTACACTCTAAAAACAACGAAATACAAAGGAACACAGATATCAAGCCAAATAAAGAACAATAAGAGGGAATAAAAAAGAAAAAAAGAACGAAACATATATCGATATCTATGTCATAAACTTAAGTAGCCGCTCGAAGCTAATATTGAAAGTCAATCAGAATGTTAACACCAGAACATAATATTGAGTTATTTACATGTAATCGAGTATCCATATGTTCGCGATTATTACAGCAATAGCATTGTAGCGGGAAGCCATTGTGTGACAATGCAATCTATTCTTTAAAACGTATGATATAACTATGAGATGAGACCATAATTGTCGAGACGGAGCAATAAGAGCAGCATGAATAAGATTGTAAATTTTGGTTTAGAGCGGTTTAGAGAAAATTGGAATGGTGATTTTATTCCAGAGCATAATTTTTGGGAAAAACTTCCAAAAACATATTAATTATAATGCATGAATCAGTAAACACTGATGTACAACAGTACATATATGTATACCACTGTTCATCATATTTTACGTACGATTTTACGAAAGGATGCTATCTAACAGCAACGTTGCAAACACAGAATATGCTACATAATAGCAATAAGAGAAACGTAATAAAACTGAAATATATATTATAGGTACTCAATTATTTCACAATTTCTTTTCAAATTTAATTTTCAAATATTTATAAGATATGGTTCGCCATAATGCTGCTGTTTTGCTGAAATACCATTTACTTAGAAATAAATTGTGCAAATATTTATCAATATTTACACTATAATTAAAAATTAAATTTCTACAAGTATTGTTGCAAATATTGAGACACGTAATTGCAGCATTCCAAATTTCATCCAGATTTCGTCATATATAATTTTATAAATCTTTTTCTATCGGGTTGGCTTTTAGTTAAGGATGATTACCTCACTATAGACGCATTCTTATACTGTGGTAGCAGCTTTAATAGTGCGCAGGCAAGAACCTCAGCGCAATGAAAAGGTCCATCTTTTGTGCCGATCCTCACGATCGACATCGTTGGGAGAGCAGGGTCGGATATGCACATTTCTTGCTACGTGAGAAAGTTGGGGAATCCACCGAAAAGCGCGCTTCTTGATATAATCTACTGAAAACTTGGATATTATTATATTGACAGGGGAGGTCGTATCTGACACCGATTTTGATCACTTTATTTTGTGGTGAATCTACACATATGGGCTATAGTTAAGTCCTGTAAGAGCTTTTAAACGAATGCGCCATGCGCCTTGTAAGAAAAGTTTTTTATTCTTAAAAATTCGAGCGATTGGTAGAGTACTTCACGATGAACTCACAATCTCACAAGAGTTATACGTCCGACTGCTTTCGCGTACAGAACAAGTTTGATTTTGTAACCGTTAGGGCCTATAGGGGAAACGAAGGCAAAACGGCACACTTAACGAAAAAAAATATTTACGCAGAAACAGTAAGCTTAATCATAAAATTATTATAACATGACAAATCAGTATTTATTTTTCCTTATTATTTATTAATCAGACTTTAATCAAATCACAGATAAAAAAGATACTAAATAATTTTTAATATCTTCCTTTTGGTCCATTTTACCTTCATAGCAAAGTAAAACGGTCGACTGCTCCTGAAGGCAAAATGGACCTACTCATTTTTTTCTGTGGCTTTGTCAATATCTTTAGTAGAATTTATATTTAGTCAGTCTTCTTTTTGAAGTTATTTTTGGCACATTATATAAAGTCGACGCCTTATTGAGAGCCATTGCACCAGTAGCAATTTTTACAGTAGCATTTTTCATACTATTTTTGTCCCAAAACTGTCGATTTATTTTTCGTTTGTAGTTATCATCCATCTAAATTAATAAATAACAATAATAACGCTTGAACAATGCCATAACGTCATTAACAGACCATGTGTTTTACTCGGTTTGTTTTGCCCGGTCCATTTTGCCTTTTGGGTACTGATTAAATCACTCTCTAAACTTTAAGTTATGTTGTATTATTTTTAAAACTTTTTTTACTTTAAAACAAAAAAAAACAATATTAATTTATGTATGCATCAGTAAAATTTATTACGATAAACTCAAATATAAACTGAAGGCTAGTTGAAAATCGCAAAATTTAGATCAAACCATAAAAAAGAAATCTTATCTTGTTAAATTACAGTGCCGGCGAATGACCGTTTTGAGCGCAGCGCACTGACCGAATGTGAATGAGAGACATACTATCTAATAACGCTAGTTACCACTACAGGGTGCTAATGGTTCAAATATGTTGAGAGCGGTCCGTGTTACATCTGCAGGTACCGTTTTGCCTTCGTTTCCTCTATTGTTATAGGAAACAATACTCGACCGACCTTCTCCCCGGTCCCTCCCCTAGTTCTAGCTGATCCTTCACTTTTGAATGTCCTTCGCTTTCGAATTTTCTACCTGCCTTGGCAGATACCGGATACGTTAGGATAATTGTCTTCATAAAACGTGTGTATCCTTACGTTATTATATTGTTTAAGAAATTTTTAGAGAATGTATAAATCTTTAAGAATTAAAATAAAGAATAATAAACTTTTCTTACAAGGCGCATTCAATGAAAAGCTCTCGCAGGGCTTAACTGTAGCCCATATATAGATTCACCACAAAGAAAGGCGATCGAAATCGATGAAGAGTCAGATGCGACCTCAATTACGCGATCTAATGCTACATCAAGTAAATATATCACTATATTTGACGAATCCTCATCAGATCGTAACGAGACATGAGTTCTATCCGAAGCTTCAGTGCATGCAAAAAGTTCTTTTAAGTTGTGATTAGTTACCTTAACGTTGCAGGTCGCAGACCGTATGTATACTTCTTATAGGAATTCGAACTGACCGTGTTCCGGCAGAAAATGGCAAGAGATGGCGATTGTCCCTTGTTGTCGGGAAAATTGACCGTGGGATCTGTCCAGGGGCGCTTTTATGTATAAAACTTGCACATTGTGTGACCTAAAGTTGCGTAACAGTTAGAGTCCGCCCAAAGGTTAATTTTTTGGCCGAAGCCGAAGCCGAAGCTGAAGGAATTTCCTGGTAATTGATAAATGTTGATGATATAATGCTAAAGAAATAAGGGAAAATATTTCTTTTTAGCTGAATGCATTTGCTATTAAGTAGAGATAATGTTTTTATTTGTTTTTATTTAGTGTGTGTTTGTGGAGTTGTAATTTAAAATAATACAAGCACAAATTGATTTATTTTTTATTATTTTTAATATTTTAATAATATGTAACTAAAATAAAACAACAATCATTTCGTCCTTTTTACATTTTTCTTTGAAAAAGTAAATTATTTTTTACTGCTGCTATTATATTTTAAAAAAAAAAATCAGTTTTCTTTTATTTCTAATATTTCTATATTAATATTAATCACGATTTAAGTGGAAAGTTATTAAAAAATCTGATATTAAAACTAGAATACTAGACTAAAAATCACCTGCACTCCTTTGCCACGTCCGCGCGCCTATGTAGATCAACCTTCGGCTTCGGCAAAACCTTCCGACTGATTTTGACCAAAACCGACTGTTTTGCCGAAGGTATAATTTTTGGTCGAAGATGGCCGAAAATGGCCGAAAGTGATTGAAGCCGAAGCTGAAGCCGAAGGTTTGGTCGGACATTAGTAACAATGCATTGTAAAAATATACATATAATAAATGTAAATTGAAATAATTTAAGCCTGATACTAGATATTAAAAATAAGAAAAAAACGTCACGTATACTTTTTATTTTAATGGTGTTTCTATGCAAAAATATAACAACAAAAAACCACAATACAGAAGAGCAGATATAATTGTTTAAACATTTGTTTGTACAAACAGTCTTATCATTTTAGGCCATTTTATTTTGACCGACTTGTAATTACAATAGAAGGTTAAATTTATAATTTTTCCGTACAGACTATACACATATTTTTAATGTAAGAATTCAATTAAAGTTCAGTACCTAATTTAATATAAGCGGTTCACCGTGAAGAAGACTTCCACCATCTCCGCCGATTACAATCGGCAGTCCGCTTTTCTTCAAATGTATGCTTATTTCTTTTCTTTTTATATATTACTAGACATCACAGACGCGCGCTACGCGCGCACTATATTTAGTTTCTTATACTATATTATGTTATTACTATTATATTACACTATATTAACTCCTTGATACACAAAACTCTCAAAATATGCGATGATAGATGCTCACGAAAGCTGCGTTTTGATATTCACTGCCAGTATTGAAAATCTATAGTATACGCGCGTGACGTAAACTATAGATTTTCAGTATTGGCAGTGAATATCGAAACGCAGCCGAAGTAAGCGTAATGAGAGAATATCAATCAGCATCGCGGAAAAACGTCAACATTAAAATTTTTTACACGGTTTTTTTAAGGGTGGAAAATATATTTATCGTACAATTTAAAAGTGAGAACTGAGTCTGTGCACTTCGAGTGATTCGCCACTCTGAAAAAGAGTAAATTTGCGCTCTATAAGTTGGAGTGAAGTCGCATTCCATACACACACACACACACACACACACATTTGAGTGAAAGGGTTCTCTTTTCGAGTGCAGTGGTTCAATGTCCATAGAAGTGAATTGTGTCACGCTACAATTTTGATTGGAAAATTCCACTCTGTTAGTCATTTTTTTTAAGTCGTTTTTCGTTAGTCGAGCTTTAGTGAATCGTGACACACTATATAGCTTTAGAGTGAGATTGTATCACTCCGGAGTAGCCTAAAGTAGCCGCTCTAAAATTTGAGTTAAAAATTTACAGAATAAATCACATTTACTTCGCCAGTCAAATACTAAACAGCAACGAAAATATTAATCGACTCTACTGGCCAATTATAATTGTCAGAGCATTACGACCATGATTTGGTTGAAGCGTCTTGACGATAATCGTATCAAATCATGGTCGTATTGTCCTGGTAATTATAATTGGCCAGTAGAGTCGATTAATATTTCCGTTGCTAAAAAATTTACTCCTATCTTATAAGTGCCGACATTAGTTCAAATTAGAGTAACAACCCTCTCTTTTGGAGTGACTGTCGCAATCACTCTAATATATTAGTAGCAAAACCACTCTAGAATTTAGAGTAAAAATTTTATTCTGCACAAACTCTTTTATTCTTTATTGTTTTTTTATTAATCATAAATTAATTTTGTTGTTATAATTTTATTGTTTCATATTTTATGTTTCTCGCTGTTTTACTGAGAACTTTTTTTTTTCTTGAAGTGGCCCAAGCTAAGGTCGTACATTTGGTCGCATACGCTCGGGCAACCGCCCGAAACACTGATTGACAAGTTAAGGGAGGAGTTAGGATCCAATGAATGTTAAAGAATCGGAATTAAAAATTGCCTTTAAAAAGTACAAAATGTATACGATCGAGATGCATTTAATTTAAAAAATGTTCAATAACCATAATAAAAATTCTAAAAAAATTAATGGTCTAGACATTGTCATTTTTCTACATTTTACATATATTGTCTTCCCAATCTCGAGTGCTTTCCGCGCCATGGCCATGCGCCATCCTTAGTTTTGTGAAAGCCAACGAACCGCTCGGAATATACTTTTATACGGCGCCTTCAATTTCACAGGCTTCTACAAGGGCATTATTCTTTAAACCGCTCCACGCTTCCGTCAGTAATATTCTACGTACGGAACTTCTCAGCGTTCCCGGCATACAATATATGTATATACGACAAGTTGAGTCTTTTACTCTCATAAATGGCATAATTTATTGATGGCGACACGTTCATATTCTTTTCCAAATAAAATAGATACTCCATACACGGTACAAATTTCGACAACATTATTATCTCTCCGCTCGAATCGACCTTACAAGACTTTTTATTCGCAATCAATCCCGTAACGAAAATAAAAAGTCGCAAATAATAGCCGCAAATGAATAGAATTAATCAATCGCATTGGTCAATTGCCGAATTGTTTAAATGTAATTGGTCAATTTTTTCTCTGTCCGAGATCTCAGAGCGATTTCTAGTATCGTGGACACAAGACTTTAGGATACCAATAAGTAAACAACCGAGACAAAGCCTATGACGAACGAATTTCTTTTCGCATTGTCTTGACACGTCTTGCTTTATCTCAGCTGTTTACCAGCTGTTTGTCAGCTGATCGAGCGGGGACTTCTCTCAGAGACTCGTATGTTTTACTGGCGCAAAAGAACCCGAATATTCAAGAAGTCCCCGAGAGAATAAATAGTGTCTCGCGCCAAGTATACGCGAAGCGAGACCGCACCGTGACTCTTTTACGCGATGCGACGAGTTGCGAGTTAGTACTCGAAATGTGTTGAGATCTCAATAACGAGTGAACGGATCATTCAAGAAGTCCCTGAGAGAATAAAAGACGTGACCCCCCCTCCCACCGGTAACAAAGCCAGTCGGTCTCTGGTAATTGTCGAGGCGTCACTGTCGATCTTTATCTTGAGTTGCTTGCTCTTTATTTCGCGAATTCCTCGCGAGTCGAATAATTCGCCTTTCGCTTTGATTCGCCATTCCGAGTTTCTGTAAATAGATGCGTATGAATAAATTTAAGACTTGTCCGTTCAAACTCTCTTTATTTAAATTAAAGGTTGTTTCTTATAGGTCTGCGGCTCGTTATCTGTCTTTCGTGTTCGGTTTGCGTTTGGTCTTCCCAATGTAAAGTGCTTTCCGCGCCATGAACATTGCGCCCTTCTTAGTTTTGTGAACGCCCTCGGACCGATTGGGAGACACAGATCGAGCGCCTTCAATTCCACAGGCTTCCACAAGGGCATTATTGAACAAACCGCCCCACGCTTCCGGCAATAACATTCTGTATTCGGAACTTTTCGACGCTTCCGGCACACACTTAATATAATATATGTCTGTAGCCTCCTGCCAAATGATATACTTTATTGATGGCGACACGTTCATCTCCTTTTCCAAACAAAACAGAAACTCCTTGTACCATAAACGTGGCGTAAACTCTATTATCTCTCCGCTCGTATCCACCTTACAAAAATATTTTATGTTAAACAGCAATTGACAACATATAAAAAAACAAAAACACAAATAAAAGATTTTCCATGCTTCGAATAATCGATTCTCCATAGCGTATCGCATGGTCCTTCTTTCGCTTAACCAAACGTTTTTCACGTCTTGTACAGTTTTCAAAAATTCCTCCCGAACCAAAGCTATGACTTTAATAAACTTTCCTGGATTCACTTTTTCCTGGATGTCCAACGGAAAATTCAATCTGCTTACGCGCCCGCTTAAACTGGTATTTGATTGCCATCTGAAACAAATGCAGGTTTTGCTGTGTACTGCGCAGCATGTAACAAACGTACACTTGCAATTGCACTGCATCGTACGTTTGCAAATCGCGATCTACAGCATCGATTTCCTTAATTAACATTTCATAAATGATTTTAAAGATTTCGTCAATGACTTTGTCCTCTGTTACGTCCGGAATAATACTCTTCAATATATCATGACCAAAATGGCAGTAGATCAGTCCCGCACTGCTTAGCTTTTCTGTCCAATCGTACCCTGGTTTATTTATAACGGTACTCATCGATTCCTGGAATTCACTGACACCAAAAAAAAAGAATAAATAACGATGTGGCGAAAGCAGAGAAATTTTCTTTAAGAATGGTAAGGTTTAAACGGCCGAAAATTGAGTAAAACTCATATGTCATTTGTGGACAAATAAATAAACATAATACATAAATTTCCTTTTAAAGCATGTTATTAGTGCTTTCTTAACGAACTAAACGAGGCGTAAAAGTCCCAAAAAATATGAATAATTAAGGGTGATATTAAAGGCGACCGCGCGATTTGCGCGCTGCTCTCTTCTTGCCACGATTCCTGGTGAACGAGCTGGAATTTTTCAGTTCTCTTGGCGTTATTTTGTTGGTGAGATCCCCCTCTATATAGACTGAACCTAAAATCTGAAAAAGTACGTCAAAATTACAATGGCAGCCAAAAAAGAAAAAATTTCGAAAAATTTAAGTTATTTGTTGTTAAAACAGTTACAAAACATTAATCTTTGTGCCCAAAAATAGGTTTAATTTACGAAAAAATTTTTTATCTTTATTTTTAAAAAATCAAGTCGATATCTGCCACCGTTCATGAGTTATCGTGGCAAAACTATAGCGGAAAATTCCATTTTGAGAAAAACGTGCGGTTAAAGCTTAGAATACTAATTTTAACTAGAAAATTGATACCTACGAAACTCAAAACTTATCCGCGCTATAAAATAACGTCTCCAGGTCAGCTTCTATTGCAGCAGTAATCACAGAACACCACAGATTTTGTTCGGCATTGGCCTCTTTTATTAGACACGAGAAAAAAATCAAACGGTTGTTACTATAATTCTTGCCAAAGTAAATGCCAACCTTCATTTAATGATATTCTATATAAGATTACATGTATAACTTTACATTTTTTTAGACATAAATCGGTAACTCCTTTTAGGATTGACACCAAATTCAATACCAACCTTCTTTTAATGATAATCCATCAAAAAATTCAGCTCAATATCACAAAATGTACGGAAATTAGAACAAACACGGAGATTTGTTAAAACAGAAATCGGGGTAACCCCTTCACCACTTCATCACTAAATTCAATACCAACCTTCCTTTAATGACACTCTATCCATAAAAATAAATTTCAGCTTGATATCACAAAATTTACGGAAATTAGAGCTTAGAGCAATCACGGACATTTGTTAAGATAGAAATCGATAACCCCTTTTGGAGACTTTAGAGACTTTAGAGTAAAAATGGGACTCTATAAGCTATCGAATGACATCTTATTTATTACTCTACGATTATTAATTTCGAAGATATAAACGTTCAAAGTGTGACATGTTTTCGTTGCAACTGTGCTCCTGAATTTACCCCCTACTTACTGTCGGCAAAGACGTAGTTCTACGTCAAAAGTGTACACAAGCACAAGGCGAACCTGTACGCGGACACTTTGCCAGTCAGCACTCACATTTTTAACTCTCCTGAGCTCAATTTTGCGAATTTCTCAAAAACCCGAACTGGGGAATATTCTTAAAGGATCACATTACCCAGAATATGTAAAAAACAAAAAATTGAATTTTTTGAAATTTTAAATCTTACCATCCCCCTTAATGGCATATCATATTAAAAAATATGTCATTTTACTTCGCGTTAGGATCGTATCGATGTTTGGAAGGATTATACTCTCTGCCAACACCCACCACAATATTACAGGCACCTAAGACAGAATGATCTCGAGATCTAAAAATATAATTGGCTATCTATGAGTTCTGCAATCTAATATTTTCTTTTTTTGTTTCGATATTATAATTCATGCCAATTCCTTTTCTCGAGTTTATCACTGAATGCGTTAAAACTCTTGGCGTTGAGATGAAGATATAATTACCTTAGTATAGATGCATTCTTATAGTCTGGTAGCAATTTTAAAAGCACACAGGCAAGAACCTCAGGGCAATTAAAGAATCCGTCGCACGTGCCGATCAACATCGTTCTGAGAGCAGGGTCGAATAAATACGTTTCCTTACGTATATTTATACTACGTGAGAATATTAAAAAATCGATAGAAAACGATAGAAAACAACCGATACGATTTGCAAAAAATCTTATCGTTTCTTATCGTAATCTATCGTTTCATATTTTAGATTCTGAAAGAAATGTATGTAATTATATATCGTTTCCTGTCGTTATCTTTTATTCTCTGTTAAAAACGGATTTAATAATTGGAATACGATAGAACTCTTATAGTAATTTATTCCTTTCTACTGTTTTGTTGAAATTTAACGAGGAGAAATAATTGAAAATCTATCGTAATTAATTGTGTATTTATAATAAAGGAAGTTCTAAGTTTCCTATCGCACATTAAAAACCCTGTAATTTTAATCATGTATCAACGATAGAATATTGAAAACGTGTCTCATCGTAAAGAACAGGAAACGTTTCGTGATCTGTCATAAAATCACGATGAGATGAGTAAATGGTTTTCCATCATATAATGACAAATGAAAAGTCACTGTTATTTATCGTGTATCAGCGATAGACGATTCAAAACGTATCTTATCGTAAAGTTTACAATAAAAAATAAAAGAGCGCGACTGCGAACGCGAGTAATAATAACTAACGCGCGCGCCACCGCGCCGCGATGCGACGCTAGTACTTTCTTAAGAGGCGAGCCTGCGAAATGCCTGACCATGATATCCTTCGCTGCGGATCAGCTTTAAGTGATACCTCTGATATCACATAGTGCAGAAATGGTAAAATGCACTAGTACGTTTTACGTTCTTTCTGATGCAGAAAGTGGATCAGAAGATTTTTGATAAATCGCGTTTGGATTCATAAAGGATTCTTTCTTATTCTTCTGTAGATACAAAATAGCGCTTACCGCTTAGATAAAGCTTCACTAAAATAGTATCTAAACATAATTTTGCATTTATTACGAATTCTTATACAGTAGAAAAAGAATTCTTTCGGTATCTGAAGAAGGACTCAGAATTGGTGACATAAAAATGAATTCCTTTTGAACTCTTATAAAGAGTAGTGTTTTTAGAGCAAAAATGGTACGGAAAAAGAATTATTTTTCAATTCTCTTTGCTATCTGGGATATTTTGTATGGATCTAATGTAAAAGAAACTTGGACAATAAATGAGCCTTTTTTTATAATCTCTGGAACAAGTATATGCAGTTTGGTTTAACTTTATTGAATATATTCGAAAGTATTCGATGCATGACAATTGATAAGATAAAATGATTTATTTTATATTGCGTGGGATTCAATGAGTTTTAAATGATCGGAGTCTTTAAACAGAACAAAATGTACACGATCGAGTTGCACCATGCAACTCTTAATAACAAGAAATGCTTTCTAAAAATTATTCAATAACCATTACAAAAATTCTGAAAAAGATGAGCGGTCTAGACATTGTCATTCTACACACTGCACGGCCTTCCCGATCTCGAGCGCTTTTCGCGCCATGGCGACCGCGCCGTCTTTGGTTTTGTGACCACCGATGAATCGAACGGAATGCACGAATATGGCACCTTCAATTCCACAGGCTTCCACAAGGGCATCAGTGCGCAAACCGCCCCACGCTTCCGGCAAGAACATTCTGCACACGAAACTTCCTTCCGCTACCGGCATACACTGAACCCGATAAGCGTTATCACCCTCAAAAATGGCGTACTTTATTGATGGCGACACGTTCATCTCCTTTTCCAGTTGAAACAAATGTTCTTTCCACGGTACAAACTTCGACAACATTATTATTTCTCCGCTTGGATCGACCTTATGGAAACGTTTTACAATTTTATATTAAACGATAATTGGAAATATATTCAAAACGAAAAAACTAATAGAGAGAGGGTTCTCCTTACTTCGAATCGACTCTCCACAGCGCGTCGCACGATGTCCCTTGCCGGTAACCAAACGTTTTTCGTGTATTGTACAAATTCCAAAAATTCCTCCAGAACCAAAGCCATGGCTTTCTCAAATTGTTTTTCTATATTCACATCTTGACTGTTCCACTGAGGATTAAGTCTGTTTACGCGCGCGCTTAAATTGGTGACTATTCGATACCTGAAACAAATGCGGATACAATAATTTTGCTAAAGCGTACTGCACAGCACGTAACATTACAAGTTACATCGACTTACAATGGCTCTGCGTCGTACATCGGCACACCGTTATCTATAGCGTCGATTTCCTGGATTAACGTGTCATAAATCTTCCTAAAGATTTCATCAATGACTTTGTCCTCTGTTACGTCCGAAAGTACAATCCTCAATATCTCATGACCAAAATGGCAGTAGATCAGTCCAGCACTGCTTAGTTTTATTGTCCAATCGTACCCTGGTTTCTTTATAACGGTACTCATCGACTCCTGGAATTCTCTGATACGGGAAGATAATAAATAACGACGTAAGCAAAAGCAGAGATTTTTCTTTAACGACGTATCATTGAAAAGTACATTATTTTACCTCATGTGATGATCGTATCGATGTCTAGAAGGATCATACTCTCCGCCAACGTCCACCACGATGTCACAGGTATCTAAGACACTCTGATTCCGAGATCTAAAAATTTAATTGAATATCCATGGATTCTGTAACCCAATATTTCCTATTCATTTCGTTTCGATATTATTATTCATGCCAATTCCCTTTCTCCGCATTTTATCATTGATCGAATGCGTTAAAAAGCTCTTGGCTTTGAGATGAGGATTATTACCTTACTATAGATGCATCCTTGTATTGCGGTAGCAGTTTTAAGAGTGTGCAGGCGAGGACTTCATCGCAATGAAAGGTTCCGTCGTGCGTGCCGATCCTCACGGTCGATTTTCCCGACATTGTTCTGAGAGCTCCGTTCAATAAAAGATTGGAGAGTCCGCCGGAAAGCGCGTTTCTCGATAATTGACTGAAACCTCGGATCATCATATACTGAATTACACGATCTAATGCTGTACCAAATAAATATATATCGCTATTTAATAAATCCTCACCAGGTCGTAGCGAAACGTGAATTTCACCAGAAGCTCCTTTGCATGCAGAAGTTCTTCTAAATTAGTTGCTTCAACGTTGCACGCTCAGATCGTATACGTTCCATATAAGAATTTGGACTTATTAAACTGGCAGTGTTTGACCGTGTTCCAGCAGAGAGTGGTGGCAAGTGGCAAGTGGCAGAAAGAAGGCTGCGAATGCACGCACGTGCTCCACTGCTCCGCTGCCTCCGCTCCGGCCACTGGCGCCTCTATGTACGCCAAACGTGCACATTAAACTACGTAGTCACGAATATTTCCGATGGGTAACACCCAAGATAGCAAGGAGAATTAAAAAAGAACTCTTTAAATTCCCGATTTATGAAATAAACTCTTTTTTTCGTAATATTTCTGCTCTAAAAAGACGAGTTTAAAACAAATTTATTTCTATGTCACCAATTCTGAGGTCTTCTTTCATATACCAAAAGAATATGCTTTTTCTACTCCATAAGAATTTGCAATAAATACGAAATTATGCTTAGATACTATTCCAATGGAACTTTATCTAAACGCTGTTTTTTGTATCTGAAAAAGAATAACAGCTGATCGAGAATAGGTACCTATATATTAGGAATATGAGAATAAATATTAAATATTATAGGAAACGGAATTAGAAATAATAATTAATCGTAAAACACATAGAATAGAAAAAAATTAAATACATAATATAAATATAGGAATATTCCTACATTTACATATCCTAAATATTTAAAAGGGTCGACAGGAGACACGGTGTGGAGACGCTGCAAGCGTGAACTAAGTACGAATCGTAAAATCCATATTACGGCCAAAATAATGAGAAAATCGCGCTTTAACTGCAATATTCGTAATCAGCAGCGTCGCCTTCAAACTGCTATATATACAAAGCGATTTTTTTAAAAAATGGTCAAAATAAATTTTCGAGTTTTTATCTCTACCGTGTCTCGAGTCTCGATCAGTTGCTCCTGTCGAGATATATATGTCTTAATATTTAATATTTATTCTTATTCCTAATATAATGCTCTATTGTGCGCAGGGCCTGAATCTTTTTTACTCCACATTGCATTGGAAGGAAAAAGATGAACTCTGAATTAGTGCAGCCAGAGAGAAACCTGAGAGAGGCCATATCCCGGTCTTTTTCGTGTGTTGCTGTGTTGCTTTTCCGACGCGCCGCCTGAGAAAGTGCAACTCTACGTCGTATCGCTCGGTAACCGCACATGGTTTGCGTCCGTGCTAATGATTCGTGTCCGAACTAGCCAGCTGGAGGGGATATTCTGGCCGCGGCGGCCGCGCTTCCATCTTGCGTATTCCAATTAATAACGAATTACGATAATTAAAATTACAAAATTAAGATTACATTCTTCAAAATTATTACGAATTTTGTATCTCATAATTTTGAAAAATATAATCGTAATTTTATAATTTTAATTTTCAGATAAATGTCAAATTTTGCAAGCAAGAAGCTATTATTTGAGCGTTGATTCAAACCTTCACATTTATGTGAAATTTATAATAATTAACGATAATTTTTAAAATGTGAAATTCTATAGATAAAGAATAAACACCGTTATGATCTTAATCGTCTTCTGTTGATTTCGTATAATATATCCGGCATTAGTATCATACAATTTCAAATTTATTACACGTTTCCTTATAATTCCTTATTACAATAATTTTTTTATAAATAATGTTACATATGGAGGGGTAAAAGCCATAGTGGTGTAAGTCAAATTTTTTAAAATATTGTCTTGTATGCATAGATGCAATTTATATATTGTATAGAATGCATCTATGCACACGAGTCAATATTTTAAAAAATCTGACTTATACCACTATGGCTTTTACCCCTCCATATAATTAACAGTATGAGTTACAATATCCCTTCGTGTTCCTACCTACCCAAAGTATAATATCTCTATGTATAATATGTATATATTCCCCGCCTATCCATATTTCTATATCTTCATATAGCTACCTAATATTTCATATTCCTACCATATTTTTATTTACCTAGCGCGTTATTTCTGCTTACCCGAATTTATTAGTTTATTTAGTTTTATTATTATTAATTTATTTTATCAATATTAATTAGTCGCAACCGCGATACCCGAAATTAAAGAAGTAAATATTTTTAAAGGGAGTTTAAAAAATTTTAAGTTCGCGATTAATTGAAATTAAGCTGGAGACGTCACTTTCCCGTCTCCGATTACGCGTTCCCATGTGTAAAAAAATATTACCCTCCTTATATATGCATTATACACTAAACTGGTGGTGTTCAACACCAACCTACCTTGTGTAGATCTTCTCTCCTTTGACCAGTTTGACCATACCATTTCATGGCCAAATCCATTCTGGCAAAGCCAGAAACAAGAAGAAGAAATACACCTTCTGTTGCCGCCTAATCATAGACGGCAAATGAGCATAATGATTTTACGCTTTTTCCCACGATGCGCGAAACACGACCGCGTCGCGAAGGACCATTTGTAACAAAATTAAATTAAGTAATTTTAAAATTACTAGCTTTCAAAATCTACTTAATATCGTACAAACTATAATTTACGCAAATGATCATTTTCTCGATTAAGAATAAAAAAGATTTTAATTAGTTAGGAGCTGTTAATTTGGAAAAAACCCATTTTAATCAACCGCGTATGTAATCCGAATAAATTCGACTACATTTTACGAATAATAGCAACTTTAATTTAAATCTGATATAAGCATGCAGGACATAAATAAAAATGCAAAATGTAAAATGAATAACAATATTGACTAACGCAAACTGAAAAAATCTAAGGCCCATTTTTTTTCGATATCGTTTCGCATATATCGAGTCTCACCTCAAAAGGATGAAAAATAAGGAATTAATGACGTGAGATCCGAAAGAGATAATCAAGTTCCTGCACAATATGGAGCTAATGTGAACACTTTATGCACTCGAGCAAACAATTTGAATTTTGATAGTTACATCTTATTACGATAATTATACTACTACTTAAATATCAAGTATTTATATTAACGCGAAATTAAGTAATCAAGTTGAAAATAATTGTTACAAAAAATTATCTATTTTGCAAAACATCATTTATCAGATCTCACGTCATATCGCTTTAACTATAGTATAAAAACCAGTTATCAATACATATATGAATAGACTGTGAAAGCTTAGGCTAAAATTGGTGCGTTATAGGAACAAATAATTTTAAATAATGATCGTGAACACACACAATTTTGTTAAATGGCTTACGTAAAAAATATATTAAATAGATTGTATATACATAACAATAAATGATTAAAATAGTGCAAAGTACTTTTTATCTTCACTAGACACTACAGACGCGCGCTTTGCGCGCGCTATTTATAGCTTTAACATTATGTTATTACTATTACACTATTAACCCTTGATACACACAACTGTCAAAATATACAATGACAGCTGCAAATGAAGTAAGCGCAGCAAGAGAACCAATCGGCATCGCGGAAAAGTGACAACAATACCTACAACATGCCCTTTTTAGAAAAAGAAGAAAGAAGAAATCGTGATATATGCAAGCTAAAAGCATCTCTAAGCGTATTATATATTGCATTCTTGCACCAATTTATGTAACACTTAATCCTGAAAGATATTTGGGATGGAATTTACAATGACAAAATGTACGACAAATCAATTTAGGTGATTTATCCAAGATTAAATGTTAAATCCTAATCTGACCCAGTCATTCCATTTTAAGACAACGAATCTATGAAACATAATATAAGTAATAATTTATTGTGATAACTTGACACCGCAATATATTTGACGTATCATAAATTCATTAGGTACCTCAATTATGAAATTTTAATCATCACTC